GCAGAATCAAGAATCTGGTTTCAAAAGTACTATTATCTGCGAATGTTATCCAGCTTTCTACCTCGCCATGGACCAGCCCAATCGTCATTATCGAGAAGAAATGGGGTGGATACCAGGCTTTGTATTGATTATCGGTTGATGAATGACTTGACCCAGCTTATGATCTACCCTATGCCTCTAATCAAAGAATTGTTGGAGAATCTGAACAGAGCATTGTGGTACTTCTCCCTGGATATGGCAAGCGGTTTTTGAGTCGTCGGCATGACCAAAAGATCTCGGCTTTTGTCACCCCACTGGGGTTGTTCGAATGGCTACGGATGCCATTTGGACTCAAGAAGGCGCCTCTGATATATCAGAGGCTCTTGGATAATGCTTTGTATGGGTTTTTACCTATCTCTCAAGGAGCTGATAGAGAGGAGACCGAAGACTTGTTTATGATGGGGAAGCGTGATGTAAAGTCGGGTCCCTCGGTACTGGGTTGGCAGTCCTATATAGCTGACATTGTGATACCGGCCGACTCGTGGGATATGTTGTGCGCAAAGGTTGAGCGGCTATTAGATGTGTGTGACTATTGAAACCTATCGATGAGAGCGGTCAAGAGCTCATGGGGGTGCCGGAAGGTAGACTACCTTGGGCACAGGGTCTCGGCCCAGGGACTAGAGGCCCACCCAAAGGACCTCCAGTCCCTGGTTGACCTACCGTTGCTAACGACACTCAAATCCATGCAATCGTTTCTTGGAAGTCTGATATCCTATAATAGATTCATTGAAGATAATGCAGTGTATGCGTCGATCCTTGATGAGTCACGGGAGGTAGATTTTCACGATAGGCGATGTATGTTGAGGACGGGGGACAGTGGGGTGACTAAGGCAGAAGACGAGGGGAAGTAGAGCAGGACATGCAAGTCCTGCGCCATATCTGAACTAGTCACTCGCGGAGCATCTGCAGAAGATTGGTCGGCGGATGACCATCTATGACCAAGATGCAATTTAAGCGCGTGACCTAGCCGAAGCTTCTGAGAGCTTTGCTGAGGAGTTTCGTCTACTATTGCTGGATTGGCACAGAGCCTAGAACGTCTGGAACAATCGAAATTTGCTCTTCGTCGAGATAACGTGGTGTTTCGTGGGCTGCGCCAGCCTGATCCGACGAAATAAACACGTTATCGGGGGACCGCAATATGCTCTCGCGGCGAGTTAATCGACGACGTAAGAACAGCCGGTTAGTAACGCTTGTGAGGTCCAACAAAGAAGTTTGGGTGGAGACACATTGAGGAAGAAATATCCAGTTTGTAGGCGTCATTCTTGAATTTGGTGATCTTAAAAGGTCCAATATATCGCGGTGACAGCTTTGTGACACCGATATTTGTAACCGACGCATCTTATATTCCATTAGGCAAAAGCAGAACAGAATCATTACCTTGAATTTCTCGAGATTCTTGCGTCCGCGTTGATCAGCGGACGGCTTTTGTTTTTTTCACTGCAGAGGCGATAGCGTCGCGCGCACGACCCACGATGGATTGTCGTTGTGCACAAACGCTTTCATCGCTGTGTGGTTATAAAGCAAGCGTTCTGCATCGTTGTAACCTCGGGAGCAGCAACGCCGGTGGTTGCACCAGGCAAAGGAACTAGTTAAGCTGCACAGCATTCCATAATTGGCGTCTAAGTCGCGTCGTCAATGACAGTCAGGGTAATCTCGCGCTGAGTAGCACCTCGAGTCGGGAGCAACGTTGAGTGAGGCGTCGAGGATTACCTGTCAAGACGCCGCCAACACCATTGCTTCTGGTGCTTTTAATCTAGCAAGAGTAGAACAACCGGTCAATCCCAGATAGACAAGAACATGTGGGTGGCACGCGTTGTTCACGAAAAAGGGTGCTGATTCTGTCGAAGCATGGACTCGTTATTTAGCGCAAATTAGACCATGGGAAGTTAAATGTCCATGAGGCAAACAAAGTAGCGCAGCTACGCAGCACATCCTCCAAGACGCGATTGATCCGCTCAGTCTGACCATCCGTCTCAGGGTGGGCAGCGGTGGACATCGTCAGGCGGGTGACGAATATCTCGAACAGCCGAGACCAAAATGCGGCGGTGAAGCAGGGATCCCAATCTAAAACTTTTGTGACAGGCATGCGATGATGCTGGTAGACCATGTCGACGAAGAGAGCTGCTGTCTCCGCCGCAGTAGTGAGCACCGTAACAGCTGAAAGGTGCACAATCTTGCTAAACCATTTAATGATCACCAAAGCGCCGGTGCGCCTCTGCACACCGGCGAGTATACTAAACACGAAATCCATGCTCACGCAGCTCCAAACATACGTGGCGATCGGTAGCGGGCAAAGCGGCGCCTGTGACGACGGAGCTGGCTTCACACGCTAGCAAACTTCACAGTAACCAACCCACTTACGTACCAACTTGTACATATGAGGCCAATAGAAGTTCCGAGACAGCGTAAGATATGTCTTTTCGCGACCCAGATGACCACTCAAGACACTGTCATGATACTCATGGAGAATACACCCACGAAGGTCGTCGTCAAGGAAGACGACGATACGTGGAGAAGCGAAACGACCGATCTGGTATGTAATCAGATTACCATCAAAAGCATAGCGCGTAATGTGTGCGCGAGTAGAAATCGAAAGGGATCATAGCACACCATCCGAGGGAGAACTCAAATACCGCACAATTGACGAATAAAAGTCATCGCGGGAGTACGCTTCCGCGATATCAGCGCTGAGAGGGTTGACCGCAAACACGGCCGTAGCGTTGACACCGAGTGTATCGCAAGCCGCACAGTCATCATCATCCGACTCTAAGGCGGCAGAAATAGAAGCCGCGGCACGAACATCATAATCTGGGCGCCGCGACAACGCATCGGAAATGATGTTAGTCGATCCAGGTTTTTAGTACACGACAAAGGTGTACTCCGGAAGAAATACAACCAGAAAGCCATGCGCTGGCCTAGATAAGGGCTCTTTGTGGCGGTACGCAGGGACGCGTGGTCCGTGTAGATGGCGAATGTCTGTTATGCAAGCAGATAGACGCCAAACTTTACGAGCGCAAGGCGCATTGCAAGAAACTCCTTGTGATGAACGGGGTAGGCTCGCTCGGCACGCTTCAGATGCCGAGACTGGTAGCTGACCACTCGTTCCTTTGCCGCGGCGTCATGTTGCATCAGCGCACAGCCAATTGCAAAATTCTCACGTCACAGAAAACATGGAATGGTGCGTCATGACTTGGTAGCTCTAACACAGGCGCTGTCGAGCGTCTCTTTTTGATCTCGTCGAATGCATCCTGATGCTCTTGACGCCACACCCACGTGGCGTTCTTCTTCAGTAGCTGAGACCATGGATGAATCACTGCCGCAAAGTCTTTAGCGTAGTAAAGCAGGTAGTTGGCCAGACCCAACCATTGCTGAAGGTGTTTCTGTTCCTTTGGAACCGGCCATGAGCAGATGGATGAGGCTTTCTCCAGATCAGCGCAAACACCCTTCGCGCTCACGCAACTGCCCAACACTGGGATCTCTGGAGCATAAAAGGTGCATTTCTTCAGGTTCGCAAACTTTTTTTTTACGCATCGCCTCAAAAACCTCCCAAAAATGACCAAGATACACGTCCAATTCAGTCGTGTCATCGGATGCGCGACTATGCACAAAGACATCATCAAAATAGCTTGGCACAAAGTCGCGAAACGGGAAAAGTACGCGAGAAACGCACCCTCACGCACGTGATTTGCAGCGCGACACCATTCAACGAAGGCGTCAACAGCTTCGACTGAGTCACAAGAGAGTGGCCACTGTAAAGTGAAGTAGTTCTTTGAAACCAAACACGTGATCGATCTCGTGCCGCGCTTCTCTATCCGCAGGAAGAACCGCAGATATTTTTGTCAGGTAAGACACCCTCAAACTTGCGCGCAAGCGCAAGAAGAGAATTTCTTGACGCAGCAAGTTATTTCTGGGTGCGCCGCGAAGCACTCTTCGCGTGCAAACTTCGGTTTCATCCCATCAGGATGCTCAAGGTTGTTGAACTCGGGTACATGAACAACTAGATAATTTGTTCGATCCCTCCCCTCTTAAAACCGTGCAGTAACTCATCCTAAGCGAGTTCCAAAGGCTGCGTAATGCCAGACGCGTCGCGAGGTGCCCTCGCGACTTGGAACGAATGGCTGCGCGGACGAGCACCAGTCTCGTTAACGACATTGATGGTCTCGAATGGTAGTGCCGGCGGGATAGATGGTGTCTACAAAGGAGGATGAACACGAGCACGCCGCCCACGGCGACGACGTGACACAGAACACGAATTGGATGCAAAACTGGTTGCACGGAAGCCACTTCCTCCGCGTAAGTTGTCGGAAGCCGCTGCTCCAACGTGAGTCCTCCATGGGGACTGGCACGGGAGACACTGCTCGCTCATGACGCACGATAGCCGCTGCTTCGATGCGGTGGGGTTGAAACTGCACGCACTGAAAGCCTCTGCTTTGGCGCAACATTCGCATCTTGTACTCGCACGGAAGTTACTGCTTGCTTGTGACGCATGGAAGGTCTCCGCCTTCGTGCGGTTGTGGAAGGACGCACACGCATGGGAGCCGCTGCTCGACCATGAGACATCCGTTGCCACTACTTCGGGTCTGATTGTTGACTCAGGAACCACTGTTAGACTGAAGGGGAGCGGGTTGCTGGGCTACACACCACAATCGAAGGGCTATCACACACTTCAGGGGTATGAGCAGTCGGGATTCACGCAGCAACATGCTGCCAAATACTCGTTGGTCTGTTTAGAACGGAGAGACCCGCATTGGCATCAATGTCGCGTGTTTGAACCGCGAATTTCAGCCAATCAATGTCAGATCAAAGCCGTGCAAGCCACGGCATCCTAAAAATGCAGTCGAATGAACCGCTCAAGCCTATAACTTAGTATTCATCACTTTTCTCAAAAGCATCGAACCGGTAAGGAAGCACCACCGAACTATGTTGGTGCGTGCGAGGCTTTCCTTCCGTATACTTGACGCTTATCTTCCCTGAACACTGAGTACACGCAATTGCGACGTGAGAAAGGGTAAACTCTCGGCACGGCTAAAATGGTTCCATGCCATTGAGTCTAGTAACGCGCGAAGTGGACGTGACGCATCGTCAACGGGAACGTGAAGCACGATTAAACGCGGATCACTGCTAGACGTGGTGGCATTTAGCTGTGCATTTTGCACAGCGGGGCTAGGAGAAGTTGTCGCCACTGCAGACACGTGTCGCTGTTTTTCACCCAGTAGGACGCCCCAGGCCTACTGGCTGCCGTTGTTTTTGCCTGATCAGAGGCGATGACGGTTGCGTTAGACACAGCGACAGCGAGGACTGGTGCAGGTGGTGACCAGGTTTACGACAGCGGAAGCAAATCAGCCATTTTGGTGCTACAGCCTTCCGGTACTTGGCACTTGGCACACGCCGAGAGATGTAGCGTGCTCGATCGCAGCAACCTATCTGAGCTCAGGCTCTTACCTAGCAAAAGCAGGTGAAGAATATTCATGCGCGAAGCCATGACACTAAAGTTCTCACGCAACGCGATCGCAACGCTTGTTATAGGGACGTAAGGGACTTCCGCGTCAAATAAAAAGGCTGATGCCCAGCGCTTATTCCTGTGACAAACACGTGTACTTGCGTCGCCTTATTTGTCGGATTGGTGATTACGCAGGACGCCAGATGTCATGCTTGCTGGATATAATCCATCATCGGCAGACGATCCTGCTTCAGCACCATGATATCCAAGCGATGGTTGTGCTCATCCTGCGGAGGCTCAAAAGCTAGGCGCATGTCGTCCTTGAGGGCCTTCATTTTCGGTAAGCATCCTGGGATAGCCGCAAGCTATCACAGCGCTCACTCCTTTGCCTTTTCTGTCAACTTAGACAAGAGGAAGTGGGTGCAAGCGCACTTTGAAATGAGCAGAAGGGCTTTGAAGACAATGTATACTTCACAAAGCCACCGATTAAGCGCAAGGCGCTTCGGGACCTCGCCGCTACAGCACGAGACGTCAAGTCTGGCAACTTCGGACCCTGAGGCAACCGCGGGAGTTGAGGCTCGCCGAAGCAAACGGCAAGTTCGCGGTTGATAAAGTCTGGGAGTTGACAAAGTCTGGGATAACTACACGCTGTAGCCGCTCAGGTTTGCCCTTAAGCATGGTGACAACAGTAGTTTTATCGGCTACGTTTGCAAGACGACGGTAAGATTTACTTCTGAAAAGTTCAGATGATGGAGCTCATCATGATCCAGCATCCCTCCCTCGTCGCCCTGGATAGGCACAGCGCTCTTCTTCGTTAGAAGGACTACAAAGTGCTGTTAGGTGTAACGGGGAAAGGACCCGTTACGTAGCTTACACCCAACGGCTTACGAGGAAACGTTAGAGAATACGCGTCAATCAAACGCGTGTTTGTTTATCATTAATTTTAACTCTATCTTTATATTATAATTTGTATTCTAAGTACGAATGGTCTCCAAAGTTCGTTAGAGCCACTCAATATAAAGGTCGCATCCTATTAGATGATAATGGGCCTGGTTTCCACTTATCAACAAAAAGGAATACGACATGCTGTACCCGCTATATCAGGTACAGCGTATACCTAATTATGTAATATTTGTACTTAGCTAAGTCTACTTAGGAAAGGGACTGCTAGCATGGACCTAGCAGGATGTGTACGGTACTCACCGTTACATGCTACCACTCGAGCTTCATCGAGACTTAATGTCGCCGCCCGGTCCGCATTCGAGTATCCTTGTAATCATGGGTTACCTTTTGCTTAAAATTCAATCCCCCCTCGTTCCTTTAATGTAAAGAAATACCCTTTTGAGTGCCTACCAGTGTGTTGGACACGAGTCGGACGCAAACTGACTAAGCACTCCCACTGAAGCAGCAAGGTAAGGACAAAAACATTCCATAAGAACATTCTACATCCAACCGCGTTTTGGTAAGGTACGTTTGCCATCGTCTCTGCATGATTGCAACCTTCTTCGTACATGATTTTTGTCAACCGGAGTCCTGGGTCTTGAGGTGTCTTGACCGGTTTGCTGTTTTCATGCCAAATATATCAACAATATCTTTGACGAATTTGCTTTGCCGCATCGACAATTTCCCAGCTAAATCGTCCTAATCAATTTACACACCAAGAAAGTGTTGGAGTTGCACCATGCCGGTCATCTCAAACCGCTGACTGAGTGCGTACTTGGTTTCCATTAGTATTTTGTCGTTGCTACTAGCAAGGTCCAGATCATCAACGCAAAACCTCCAAATGAATAATTTGCTTTTAATAACGCTTGATATAGATACACTGGAAAGACTTTCAATTCTTAAGCGTAAGCTGACGCATGAATACGTCGATAGTCTTGTTCACATTTGCGGCGATTGTTTGAATTCGTAAAGAGAACGCTGCAGCTTGCAAACGAAATAACCGTGTTTTTGATCGATGTAACCGTCCCATTGAACCATATAGATGTCTTCATCTAAATTCCCATTTAGAAAAGACGTTTTGTCATCTATCTGATGAACGGCCAGATTGTACATGGCTGCCAGACTAATCCGTTCTGATTGACGTAAATTTGGCCACTGGTGCAAAATGTTCCTCATAATTAATGCCGTATTGCTGGGAGAATCCTTTAGCAACAAGACGTGCTCTAAAACGCTCAATCGCACCAGCATGGTTTTGCCTCCTTGACCCGAAATACCCATCGACAGCCGATCGCCTTTTGACCCTTAGGCAATGGTACCGACGTCCACGTCTTATTCTTGTGAAGAGAGTCAATCTAGGAGTCGCACGCATCCTTCCACTTAGCCGGGTTAAAAGATTTAATCGCAAACTTGAACACTAGCGACATTTGTCTCACTAAATTTATAACATACGCTGCGTAAAGATCGTACGGTACCCGCGCAAATGCTCGTTTTGTCTGCGAACGAGTTTGCCTCTTCGGCGCCGAAATTTCAATTGCGTGTTCCGACGAAGGAGCTCGGATGTAACGCTTAGACCCAGGCGCAAAGTCTTCATCATTACCAGCGATATACGGTGGAGATCATGATTCGTGATCAGTGACCTCATCATCCGGGATATTCACGAATACGTCTTTTGACTCGTATTCGTCGCTATGGCAGCGTCTCCCATTTGTAAAGACATCTTCCATAAATCGCGCGTCAAGATTTGTTATAATGTGACATCTTTTGGTATTTTCAAACCCATATGCTTTCTCATGCTCCTTATATCCGATTAATTGTAGAATATCAAGCAGGCATCGATTTTGCCGCGTTGCTGCTTTGGGACCGTTACATACGCATGGCAACCGAACACTTTCAGGTTCGCCAGTAGCGGTTTCTTACCGGTCCAGATTTGGTGCGGCGACTTATCGGTGGAATGCATCGGGCATTGATTACGAAGATATGTAGCGGTCATTATTTTTTCGCCCTAATACGCCTTAGACAATCCGGTATGCTACAACATGCAGCAAGCACATTCCACCAATGTCCGTTTTATCCGCTTTGCGACTCCATTGAACTCAGGCGTGTACTTCTGTACGACACCGCACTTGCTCCAGAGCTTTATCATCTCACTCGAATTGTATTCTCCTCCATTATTACTGCAAAAAACGTTGACCTGGTTGCCTGTCAACGTCTCAGCGGAGGCATCAAAATTTGCATATTTGGCCGCCACGTCAAAGTTTTTCAGTAGCAAATACACCACGCAAAAATTGCGATTATTTGTCAGTGAATGAAACTAATTACGGGCAGACGCCAAAAGTATGTGCGCATAGGGCTTCAACCGTCAGTGTGGATGACCTCGAGCAAATTTTGTGTGACTTGATGATCTGGGTATAAGCTTGCTCGCGTTTGCTTGCCCAGAGCACACCTCTGACTCATCTTTCACTGCTTTACCAACGTGATGTTGATGCTAACGCCATATTTATCTTACGATGGTGTCAAAACCGCCACGGCCGAGGTGACCAAGCCGAAGGTGCCAGAGGTATGACGTGACACCCCGCTGGCAACCCGTCGAGATTGACACAATTGCCTCGTCAGGTAGAAGAGACGCTATGCAGAGCTTGAACAGACCCCTTTCGTGCAGCTGCCATGTCATGTTCACCACCTCCGCGAAGCACGCGTCGGTATTGACCGTGACAGAGCCAACATCTGTCGAAAAACGACCTACAGAAAACAGGTTTCGTGACATCTTGGGAATATGCCACGCACCGTAATGACGCCCTTCTTGACTCCAGACGTAGTCTGCATTGTCATGACAATTTCGCCCGTTCCCACTGCTTGAACAATACCGTCATCCACGAGCTGCACCGTTACTGGCAAAATCTTCTTGTAGTTTTTCATGTGCTTCCTTGAGTACCTCATGTGCTGCGTCGCACCTGAGTCGATAAGCCAGATGTCACTTGCTGGAGCAGATCCACAACCAAATGAGAATTAGAAGTCGCCAAATCAACCTTCACTCTGCACGAAACTTGCTCCATGCGCTTCTCCGCTCCGAATTATCACGGATCCTCACAGGACACTTGGCAATTTGATGTCCTAGTTCGGCACAGTAGTGGCATGGGCTGACCTTCTGCATCTACCGCCCTCCTCTGTGCTTGCGGTGATTGTTGGTCATAAATTCTTGACATTGGCTGTTCCTGACTCCATCAACACCACCAACTTATTCCTTGCGCTTTAAGTCTTCGTGTAGCAGCCGAGACGTCACAAGTTCCTACGTCAGCGCGTGGGCACGTGAGTCCAACGCCATAATAAGAAATCGGTACAAGTCACTAGGCTGCCAAGAAGCGTGATTACCATGTCATCTTAGCTGACCGGAGCGCTGACTGCGTCAAGCTGTTCCGCCAGTGTTTCAACCATTTGAATGTGAGCGAGCGCATCATCACGTTCATTCATCATAGTTGTGAAGAAACGACGACGAAAAAAGAGCTTGTTTGCCAGGCTATTCTTTTCAAAATGGTCTTTTAACTTCTCCCATGCATCAAATGCGCCACTTGCCAAGCAAACCAACTGTAACTGCGAATCTTCCATAGCCAGGCAGATAAAAGCCATCGCCTTGCGCGATTTTTGCTTGATCATCGCTTTGTTCAACTTAGTTAGGAATTGCTCGATCTTTTCATCCCCGTAGACGACCTCCCACAGGTCCCGCTCCTCAAGCACTATCCGCAGCTCGAATTTCCACGCATGGAAGTTTGTTCCATGAAACTTGTTTATACGCGTTGCTGAAGAGTCTATGGCGGTAAAACGCAAGTCGGTGGCGGCGGAGACAGATTCTGCTTATAACCTGAGTTTTTATCAGGTTATGATCCCTTCCCTCAAAGTTCTGCACGTTCACTTTATGCGATCTCGGTCTGAGAAAATCTTTAGGTACTGGTGAATTAGCCGGGGCCATATTTTTTCCTGTTTATTATTCAAGAGACAAGCCGCATAGTGCCATAATTGCATCAAGGACTGCGATTACCGCATCCAGCCTTTAATTCCGCAAGGGCCTCCACATTCTCGAAACCAACAAGGAATGTCAGCTTTTA